GGGGGGGGCGGGGGGGGGGGCTGGAGCTCTGAGGCTCCTCCCTCCGGCCCCAGCCCCCCAGCCCCGCGGTGGGACTCAGACTAGCTGCTTCGGGTACCAGTGGGGTGGGAGATTTGTCCACGCACATTCCTGCTAAGTCGGGCTCCTCTCCCATCTTGCGTTTTAAGCAAGAACCACCCCAGGGGTGGGGTCGGTGTCTGGGGTACCCATATTCCTGGTAGAGAACTGGGTCTCTTAGACACCTCAGGCCCCCCCCCGCACAGGGAAAGGGTCTGTGCCCACAGGCCTGGCAGGGAACAGCTGAGTTCGTGATTCCTCCCTGAGTAGCCCTGCCTTTCTTCCAGGCTTCCATGCTGAGCTCCTGCCCATCTTTAGTCCTGAACTGTCGCCCAGGAACCTAGTTCTGGTGGCCACCAAGAGTCCCCTGGGTGAGGCCTTCTCTCTTCTGGAAACTGAAGACAGCTGACGAACTCCATCTGGAGTTCACCCAGAGGACCAGCCTCCTAGCTTCCTGCAACCCTGGCCTCTCCCTCCCCATGTTAACATAATACTATGTAAAAGTTTATTTTTAATTTATTAAATAAATGAAATCTTTATTTCTCTGCCACTTCTATTTTTCCACCCCTGCTCCCGCCAGCCTCCCTGACGGGTAGCATCTCGTTACTCACGGGTCTCCCAGAACCCGCAGGCCCTGTCCCTGTGGAGGCTGCCTAACTTCCACCCAGGCTGTCACAACGTAAGGACAGATGCCCCTTCCTTCAGTCCCAGAAACAGGTGCGCTGGGTTAAGGTGCCGATCTAGCAGACGCGTGTGGGGGAACTCCTGGCTCTCTCTTGGTGTCTGAAGGAGAGGTGGCCTGGACCTTCGAGGCTAAGACAAGGAGGGGGGAAGCTGATCTCCAGCTGATTCCCAGGATCAGTACCAATAGACTTTCTTGTGTCTCCGCGTCTCCTGGATCCCCATCGCCTCCATCACCTCCTCCTCCAGTGTCTTTAAACGGGGCACGTAGGTTCTTTCTAGAGCATCTTCCACTGATGTGTCTTTGGGGCCATCTATTGAGCCAGAGGAAAGAAGATGGGTGGGAAATCCCCTCCCTCCCTCTCCTCCCACCACCCCCTGTCCCCGTCTTCCTGCCCCTCACCCAGCCTCACCAGTCCAGGTTTCAGGGACGATGCCATCAGCTCTGGGAAACTCAGGTTTGGGGATGATTCTTCCTGATCTTGTGGAGACACGCACCCGCTCTCCTGCCTCCGTGAATCTCCACTCCACGTCAGTGGGTTTCCTAGTGGACAGAAGAGGTGAACCCAGCCTGGGAACCACGTCTTCCGGCTACGTGCCGCCCCAAAAAGTCAACGGCTGAAAACATGAAGGTCACCATCTTGCTGCTGCTATGTCTGTATTGGGGGTGACCCACAGGGGTCACGTCCACGAGAGGGATGGCCCCTTTCAATCTCCAGAACCTCCAACCCACCATTCCTTTTGTAGAAACGGGATCAACACTGATGCACACTCGCAGGGCGGGCAGCCCTCTGACCAGAGCCCCACGTGCTTGCCTGTCCACGGGATCCACGAGTTTGACCTGGCGGTGGAGCAGGGGTGCTTCGCTGGGGATCATGGTTCCCCGGGAATCCACGGTCTTGCCCACATAACGGTAGTGCTGTCCAAAAGAGGGGGGATATGAGAACCGGGGGTGTGAAAGGGGGCTCGCCCACCGCGGCTCGGGGCGTTCAGCCCAAGCTGGAAAACAACGTCAGCTGTCTCACTGTCCCTGCAGCTCGTCTCCTGCCTCCCTAGGCTGCTCCGAATGCGGTGACAGAGGGGACAGGCTTCCTGAGCACCCCTGAGCGCCCCATCTTCACTCACCGTGTTCAGTCCCTCCAGGACCACCCAGTTGCGCTGCCGGATGACTTGGACCACTTTGCCTTGCTTCCCAGCATCCTTGCCTTCTAGGACCTCCACCTGCAGGAAGACAGGAGGGTCAGGGAGGGGGGCCCTCACCCAGCCCCCCCACCACTCCACCTCATCCAAGGCTCACCCTGTCCCCACAGAACAGATGCCATTCTTCATCCGAGACGGGCTCCACGGCCACCCGGCGCCGCCTGGTCCCCGGAGGGTTCTTCCTCTTGTCTGCAAGAGAGCCTGGGCGGCTCATCCCATAGCGGTAGTCGCGGGGCAGAGTGACCTTGGATGCCAAGGCCAGTAGGGCAGAGAGACGCATGGCTGGAGGCTGTGAGAAATCCCCTGGCCAGGGAGGATCCAGAAACCTTCCTCGTCAGCTCTGAAGGAGACAGAAAGAAACAAGCGGGCAAAGAACATTTTTTTAAACACTTAGTCCCTTGCTCAAGGGATCTCATCTCACGGAGTCCTCACAAGATGCTATCTTCACTTCACGGATGAGGAAACAGGCTCAGTGACTTGCCGGCGGTTATAAAGCTACTACGTGAGAGAACTGACATTCAAGCCCACAACGTCTGACTTCAAAGTCCAGAAAGAGGCCAGGGACCACGCGATCTAGTCACCCCTGAATCGAGTAGACCCAAACAGGGCTTGGCGCACAGTAGATACTTAATAAACAGTTACTAGGTCGATGCAGGAACAGTGGGATAGGAAAAACACAGGTAAATGGGACAAAAAAGAGGCACAAGGCCAAGGGGCAGGCATTTCCAAGGAAAAACAGCAGAGATTAAAAAACAGTACTAAAATGTCCCTATGCCACTCACAATTCCTGAACTCAGTCAGGAAATAACCACTCCTCCTCCCTAAGGCAGCTTCTTTTCCAAAGGAAAGGGCCCCAGAAGCAGACTTTAGGATTACCAAGTCCTACATTTCCCAAATAAGTATATTTTCTAAGCCTCCCAATTTTGGATGATGGACTAAATCGGTTGGGGTGGTGAGAGAATGGAGGGCAAAAATAGTTAAGTGCTTCCATTTTTACTTATTTTTTTAAGAGACAGCAAGCAGGGGAGGGGGGCCGAGGGAGAGAGAATCCCCAGCAGGCCCCACACTCAGCACGGAGCCCGATGCGGGGGCTCAATCCAAGGACTCTGAGATCGTGACCTGAGCTGAAATCAAGAGTCAGATGCTCAACGGACTGAGTCACCCAGGCGCCCCATGAGTGCTTCAATTTACTGAGCACTTACTACCTGCCGGGTGCCGTGCTGTTTTCTTGCATCATGCGCTACAGAAAAGGATTAAGGAGGGCATCTTTAATTCTATTTTAGAACCAAGAACAGAGTCTAACTTCAAAGTACAAATAAAGTGGGGGATTCACCTTCGAATGCTCCCTCTCTGTAAAGAGAGCTTTCCTACTATTCTTACTTTCTAATCTTATACTCTAATAAAACCTTTTGCCTCCTGCTCAAAAAAAAAAAAGTACAAATAAAGTGCACTCTAATGGCATAAAGAGCTGTGGGTTCTAGTCCCTGTTCCACTACCTTACTCTATGATCCAAGGCAACCTAGCTTACAAGCTTGTGTCGTCATCCTGAAAACTTTACAGGGTTGTTGGAGTCATTCAAACTACGTTTAATATTTTATCAAAACAAAGTACAGAATAATGCGAATCGTATTATGACTTTTGGCCAAATTAAAAAATACATGTTGTGGCACAGGCTTAAATATTCATGCGAAGGCAACAGGAAACAGCCAAAGTACTTGGCTGGAGCAAGGGCACTATCTGGGGGAGCAGTGACTGTCCATCTTGCTCCTTCCCCACGACCTTTGTTTACATTTTCCCACTATGCGCCCTGGCGGGGCTGGGGGGGTGGGGACTGGTTTATCTGAACCTTCGGAGTTTTCTTCTTTATACTTCTCAATGTGAAAAAGAAAGTGCCTATGTTATCTTTAATTAGCGTTGGCCTCGATGTTCCCGTGCAGATTCAACAAATGCTTAGGAGCATAGTTAGGTGACAGCCTTAGTGCGAGGAGCCTCACGGATTACTAGCGTCTGATCTTCCCGCCGCCCTGGGAGGGAAGCTGACAGGTGCGGGTACCCCAAGGTTCGTTCCCCAGACGAGGAAACCGGGCGCTGCGGGCTACAGGGCCTGCTCTAGTTCGCAGCTGCACAGGAGCAGGGCCAGCGTTCGGCCCCAGGACGCCAGCGGGGTCGCTGCAAAAGGCCAGGCGTCGGCCACTCTAGGTCTGCAGCTCCGGGAGGAGACCCCCAGAAGCCAGCCCCTAGGCCCTGCCCTCCTCTCCCGCACACCCTGCAGGGGCTGTCCCCGGGGGGGCTTCCGCGGCGTGGCCCGGGCCCCGGTTCCAACAGTCTTCACCACCCATCCGCTCCAAGCCGCCGGAGCAGAGCAATCCCGGGCGAGTCCAGGGCGGCCACCACCACCGGGCACTCAACGCTCACCTCCGCTTCGCGCCTCGCCCCACGCTGCCGTGCCCCCCCGCCCCCCAGCGGCGTCCGCACATGCGCCCTTCGCCCTCGTCCCTCGGCTTTCTGGGAAATGTAGTCTGAATGCAGAGGGGACGCTCAAACCAACCTCGCTCTGAAAGCCGGAAGTTGTAGTCCACCGCTACGGAGCGAGCTGGAAACAGGAAATTTGGTCGGGTAGGAAAGCAAGGAACACCAAGAAGCACGTCGGGAGTTGAAGGCAGGGCAGGATAGGTGCGGCGCTCGGCGCGTCTTTGCGCACGCTCTGCGTGGAGGCCGCTGGGAACCGTAGTTCTCAGAGAGGAGGGCTCCATTTTCTAGGGGATTGTGGCTTCCTGTTCAAAGCAGAGGGCTTCCCTTTCTAGGCTGGGCTGCGGCCAGTCCTCTGCCCGCGCGCCCGTCTGCAGCAGGGGACCGGGGCACACTAAGAAACTGTCCTGGGTTTTCTGCAGAAAGGAATGACACGTCGGCCCTTCCACTGCCGGTCGATGGGCTAGTCACAAAATGTCAGCTGTGGGAGGCACCTGCGATGACCTGGTCCAGCCGCTGCGCGCAACTCGGGGTGGCGGGCCGTTCCACGCTACCAGCCTCCGGGCCCTTCCCCACCAGCGGAGGGTGGCGGGCATCCCCAGCTCCTAAGCTCAGCAACACAGCAGCCCCTCCCCCCTCCGTGGCGGCCAGGGGCTGCGGCCGGATGGTCAGCACGCACACTGCACTTCTCGTGCAGGCCTTTAAGGCTTCCCAGGTGGGAGCAGGGCAGACGGTGGTTCAGCGGCGGCTGCTGGGAGCAGCGCATTCCTGGGTGTTGCCCTCCTGTCTCTCAACCTGAGAAAGGAGGCTGGCACCACTTCCTCCGTCTGGGAAGGGGGCCTGGAAATGGCCAACCCCCCCCCCCCCACCGGCCGCCCACCCAAAGAATCAGTCAAAATCCAATGTAGTAATCAACGGGTTTTATTTTCCTAGAACTGAAATCGTCTACGGTTTTCAGAGCTAAAGTCCCAAAGCTACAGTCAGCAATTTTTCATCAGAGCCCAAGGGGGGGTGGGGGTGGGGGGGAGACAGGAGACGGGAGAGAGGCATAGAGGCTGCTACAGAGGCTGGGCAAGGGCACTTATTCCCCTGTCCTCCCAGTGGGTTTCAGATCTGGTGACAACGCTGAGGAGACCAGGTGAGGGACGTGATGGGAACGGACACCAGAAGGAACACCAAAGCCCCAGCTACAAAAAGAAAAGTCATCAAACCCCAAATAGAAGGGAAGCCTCCCAGTGCACCTCATAAGTGGGGGCAAGAGAGGGGAAGGAGCCGGGGGTGGGGGTGGCACACAAAGGGATAGGGATCTTTAAAATTTTTTTTTGTAATTTTCTTTTATTAAAAACATCTCCTAAAAAATGTGTCTTTTCCTTTATGTCTGGGTGACATATGTGACTGTAGGATGGCCTTGAGCACTGTGGGGAGAGGGAAAAGGGCAGCTAAGGGGTCTCCCCAGGGCATCCTATCTCTGGCCAGAGATCAGAGGTGGACAGACGCTCCTCAATGCTCCCACCCTAGCTGGGTGAAGCCAACCCTCTGGACCTCAGGTCCTCGGCCCAACAACTTGGAAGCCCCCAAATCTTCTGACGATCATCTATGACTCCCAGAACTCCTGGGGTCAGCAAAAGGAAGGTTGAATGTTGCCCATCATCAAGGGTTTATGGAAGGGAGCCCCTCCCCTACAAGCTGTCCCACTTCCCCTGAATCTAGGGGGCTGAGAGAACAGGTACAGGAGGAGGGGACAGAAGCGCACAAAGATGCCATCTTCCTGCCGACCCCCCACCCCTACTTGAAGATCGCCCCTCTCAGGCCCAGAAGCCTACCCTGCTGTTTTATTCTCCATCCCTTCCAGTCCTACCCCCAATGCCAGCTAATCCAGAGGTCCAGAATGCTGGGGTGGGGGGGGG